TCTTGTTTCTTCATCCTTTTCTGTTTGTTCCTTTTTTTCCTCCTTCTGGTCCACTCCTTTGATTTGAGTCCCAGTTTCCTTTCTATTACTATGGGTTTCCTGTGTATTTCCCTTCATTTTAATTACTTTAGCCTTCATATGTTCCTCTAATTTGTGACTAAAATCAACCAGTTCTGTGAGCATATTGATCACCAGTGTTTTGAACTGTGCATCTGATAGGTTGGCTATCTCTTGGTCGCTTAGCTGAGTTCCTTATGCTTTGTGGATATCAACTGTTCATAGGTTGTATCGTTGGTGAATATCTTTTTCCATTTAGTAGGGGGTTCTTTTGTCTGTTTTGCTGTACAAAAACTTTTTAGTTTCCTGTAGTCTCATTTGTTTTTTTTTTTTTTGTTTTTTACTTCACTAGAGAAGATATATTTAAAAAAAAACATTACTAAGAGTGATGTCAGAAAGTTTACTTCCTGTTTTTTCTAAAGAGGTTTATGGTTTTGTCTTACATAAATGTCTTTAATCCATTTTCAGTTTATTCTTGTGTATGGGGTAAGAAAGTGATCCATTTTCATTTGTTTGCATGTGTCTGTCCAGTTTTCCCAACACCACGTATTGAAAAGACTCTTACCCCATCGTGTGCTCCTGTCTCCTTGGTCATAATTAACTGACCAGGTGGGTGTGGGCTTATTTCTGGGCTCTCTGTTTTGTGCCTTGGTCCGCGTGCCCGTTTTCATGCCGGTGCGGTTTCTATTACGATGGCCTTGTTTGTAGTGGAGCTTGATCCAAGGCAGTGTGGCACCTCCGGCTTTGCTCTTTCTCAAGATTGCTTTGGCCGTTTGGGGTCTTTCGTGGTTTCACATGAACTTTCGGGTGACTTGTTGTAGTTCTGTGAAAAATGCCGTCAGTATTTTTATAGGGGTCATATTAAATCTGCATTTGCGTCGGTTAGTACCCAGACACTGGAACCGTGCGAACCCTTCCCGTCCGTGAGCACAGGATGTGCTTCCACGCACTTGCGTCCTCTTCAGTCGTTTTCCTTGGTGTCTTAGTTTTTCGAGGTCTTTGCCCTCTTGGTTACATTTATCCACAGGTATTTTTATTGTATTTTTTGATGCAGTTATTTTGATGGTTTTCTTAACTTCCCTTTTTTTATAGCTTGTTGTAGGAGTATCAAATGTAACCAATTTCTGAGTGTCAGTTTGTATCCTGCTACTTTATTTATTAGTTCTAATGGTTTTTGGTGGATTGTTAGGGTTCTCTGTGTAGAGTAACATGTCATTTGCAAATTATGGCAGTTTTTACTTCATCCTTTCCAATCTAAATGACTATTTCTTTTCCTTGTCTGATTGCTGTGGTTAGGACTTCTTATGTTGAATAAGAGAGGTGAAAGCAGATACCCTTGTTTTTCTTCTCATAAAGAAAAAGCTCTCAGCTTTTCACTGTTAAGGATGATGTTACTGAGAAAGCTGGTATTCATGCCGCCTATTGCTACCAGACCCAAGAAGCAGAGACAGGGAGTGAATCTTTATGGACACTTTATTCAGATGCCGGTGACCTGAGAAGACTACGGGTTTGTACCCTCCCAGACCCTCTTACGCTCCATTTCAAACGGCCTTTTTATGAAGAGAACAAAGTGTAGGCAAAGGTCAGTCAGATAGAAGGCTGCACCATTGTGTCATCTGTTGATCTTGGTTCTTTATCTGTGTCCTGGGCCCTGGGTGTTATCTGTGTCCTGGGAGCACAATGGCTCAGATTCCATCTCCAGGGCCTGCAGTCCCTCCCAGGCACGAAGGTGGACCTGCCTGCGGGCTCCTGGAGCCCTGGTGGGGCACACCTTCCATTCCTGGAACAATAGCTTTTTACAGGCGTTGATTAGTAAACTTATTGACTGTTACCTAAAACTAAAACTTTCCAGCTCTTTGAGTCCCACCCCACATCATCATCTGGGGGTTTGTCATGTGTGGCCTTTAGTGCGTTGAGGTCTGTTCCTCTGTTCCCACTTCCATGAGTGTTCATCAAAAATGGATGTTCGACTGTGTCAAATGCTTTTTTTTTTGCATCTATCGATACAATCATATGATTTTTATACTTACTTTTGTTTATGTGGTATATCACATTAATTGATTTGTAGATGTTGTACCAACCTTGTATCCCAGGAATAAATCCCACTTGATACTGGTGTATGATCTTTTTAATAAAGTATTGCTGAATTGGGTTAGCAAATATGTTGCTGAATTTTTGTGTCCATGTTCATCAGAGACATCGTCCTGTAACTTTCTTTTTTTTGTAGTGTCCTTGCCTGGTTTGGATATGAGGGAGAGAGCTGGGCTCATAAACTGGGTTTTGGAGCCTTCCCTGTCTTGACTCTTTTGGCATTTCTGGAGGATAGTAGTAATTACTCTTTGAATGTTGGTAAAAATTCACCCATGAAGTCATCTCTTTGGTCCAGGGCTTTTGTTTATTGGAAGTTTCTGATAACTGTTCAATTTTATTAGTAATTATTGGTTTGTCTGGACTTTATGTTAGATCCCGATTCAGCTTTGAAAGATTGTGTGTTTTTAGGAATTGACCCATTTCTTCCAGGTTGTCTCATTTGTTGGCATTTAATTGTTCATAATATTTCCCGATAATGCTTTTATTTCTGTGGAGTCCGTTGTCTTCTCTCCTCTTTCAGTTCTGACTGTATTTTGGTGGGGAGCTTCTCTTTTTTTCCGGATTAGTTGGCTAAAGGTTTATCTATTTGGTTTTCTTCCCCTTCATTTCATTGGCCTTTTCTATTGTTTTTTTGGACTCTATTTTGTTTATTTCTGGTGTTGGGGGGCTGTGTGTATGTCTGACCCTTTGGCAGGAGAGTGGCATAAGCTGGCCCCTGAGGCCTGCTGAGCCCTCCCAGTGGGTGGTGTTTGTGGAGCTGGCTGGGTGGGCCACGGGGCGTGTTGGATCCGTAGACTCCTGGGAGGGGCTCTGGGACAGACCAAGGTCATCCACTTTTGGGGCTGGCTTGGAGTTGCCTGGTGGGATGGACAAAGTGATCTGCAGTTGAATTGAGCTTGTGCTGGGTTTGGAAGTGTCATGCTGCGAACTGATGCCAGGTGCCACTGTGCCAGACTTGGGCACCACCGTGTGAGCTCAGGCCACCCCACTCCTGGGCTGGGTCTGTGGCCTCTTAGTTGAAACTATGTTTCAGGCCAACAGTGGCCACAGCTTATCCCAGGCTTGAGACAACCTGATGGGAATTACAGTGCAGGTTCGGACTGGCCGCTGCTGCTGCAGAACTTGGGGTAGCTTAGCAAGAGGCATAAGGCACTCTGAGCAGGCCACTGCCTGTGGACCTGTGAGAGATTTTAGGAAATTCAGCTGTGGGAGCCACTAGGAGAGGTTCAGCTGGAGTTGGGTGGGGTCTCCGGCAATCTTGGTGGAGGAAGGACTAAAAGGGAACAGTGGGGCCTGCAGGCACTTTAGTCCTGGAAGGAACTGTCCCAACCCTTTCTCCTCCAGCCCTGGCCTTTGGCTTGTCAGTTTAGTTCCTGCCTGTATGTCCTTGGAGCCCAAAGTGAGCCCTCGAGCCTGTGCCCTTTAGAACCTCGGGCCCTTTAGAACCGATGCCACCCAGCTCTCCAGCAGCCCCGTCTCACTCAGGCGCAGGCCCTGCCGCTCTCCACAGCCAGCCCTGGGCGGGGTTCCACTCCTGGCCCCTCTGCTCCTCCCGGGGATTCTGCAGCCAGGGCCCTCCTCTGAGTTTTCGATGTGGGGCCTGCCTGTGCGGCGTCTCCGCCCTTCGTTACGGGACTTCTCTGCTGCCTGTCCTCGGGTGGCTCTCCGTGCGGGCTCTGTGACGTAGCTGTGGTTTCCGTGTGCCTGTGTGCAGGGTTTACCTTGTCCAACACACTGACTGAAGTCCTAACCGGGTATTTAAAATTTGTATCAGTAAGCGCACCTTGATTTTAAACCTTCATCATAATCATTCTTACAAAGAGTGGTGTGGTTAGCTCTAATGTGATTTTTGATAGACTAAAGTGTTTAACCATTACTAAATGGTGACTTAAAGTCGGAATTACTTTATTTTTTTGTGTCCTCTCTACTACTGTAATTTGATCAACATATCTAATCTGGGGCATCAAAATTGTATGCATTCATCCGTTGAGCATTTGATGCTAGAATGAATTATAAAAAAAAAAGAGAGAGCCAAGCAGGTTTTTGCAAAATCATACAACTTTTTTGGCTTGTTTTTTGCAAGTAGATTTGATATATCATTTTCTTTTTAGCAGGTTTCACCAAAGGGAGATAAACTAGAATACTAATTAAAATTGTGAATTGATTTTTTTATTAAGATTTTAAAAAAGATTTTATTTATTTATCTTTAGAGGGGAAGGAGAGGGGGAGAGAAACATCAATGTATGGTTGCCTCCAGTGCGTCCCCTGCTGGGAACTGGCCTGCAGGGAACCTGCCTGCAACCCAAGCATGTGCCCTGACTGGGAATCGAACCGCGATCCTCTGGTTCACAGGCCCCTGCTCAATCCACTGAGCTACACCAGCCAGGGCTGAAAATTGTGAATTGATTTTAATTGTTTGCACAAAGGTTGAGTCCTTCCTCTGAACAGAACACTTGTTGTATTCAGTTTGATACAGAAATCTTTGGTAGTTTTTTTTTTAATTTGGTCCCTTTTTTAATATCCTTTGCATTTTTTCTGTACTGACCAGTTAGTTGTACCTGCTCATGAAATAAGAATCTGTTGACTATGGGCTCTTGTACCAGCAAAGTCTTCAGAAATCACCTGAACATTTTCATGAGCCTTTCCCACTGCACCCTAACATCTCTCCCCACCTCAGGATACAGTTTGCAAACAAAAGCAGCAGTTTTTACTGTAGAATAGCAGAGTAGTGAGATGAGCCAGAGAGCACTGAACAAAGCTCCGTTTACAAGTGAGCAGAGGTGCTTGAACGCAGAAGGCAGCGTCAGGGCGCGTGTGGGCTGCTGGAAATGCATCTGCTCGTCTTTCCGCAGGACATCACTACTCTGACCGGTGTTCCCGACGAGCACATCAAAACGCGCAAAGTCAGGATCTTTGTCCCCGCTCGCAACAACATGCAGTCTGGCGTGAACAACACCAAGAAGTGGAAGATGGAGTTCGACACCCGGGAGCGCTGGGAGAACCCTCTGATGGGCTGGGCGTCCACGTGAGTGTCCTCCCCACCCCTCCGTGTAGGTTTTCCTCTTGTACACGCTGATTCTGGACCGCCTTCGTGTGCAGTGTGCCCTAGGACAGCACTTCTGTGTAGGTGTCACTGTCCTAAGACAGCACATGGTTACATAGGACGTGTGTACTCAGCTGTGTGTGTGGCCAGCAGAACAAACCGAAGTAGCAGCAGTGGTTTTCTGCGTACCAGGAGCGGATAGAAACGACTGACATCGCGCTAGTGTGACATCGACACGTGAGCGCGCTCCGTGCTGTGTGTGGACGTGTATAAGTAGTAACACTTTCACTCACTTTTAAATTAAAGCAAAACTTTGTTACCAGTGTGTGTTTGTAAGGGGAGGAGATGAAGCAGTAGCTGTTTCAAGGGGACATAAAAGCTTCTGGGACTTGTGATGAACAAATGTGGAGCGAGAGGGAACGAAGTGGCCGCAGTGGACCCGTGACCTCGGTCCGCCTGGCAGGGCGGGGCCCCGCGGTGAGTCGCAGGCCTGCCTCCAGGCAGACGGCAGGAGACAGCCCACCAGCTGGAAAATCGTCGTTCTTTTTGAGACTCTTCAGATGTTATATGTGTCCAGTCTTCAGTTGAAGACAGTTATCAGCTTCAGCTGTCTTACTTTAGAATAAAGTGTTACACTTAGACCATTTTTTCCTGTTGAAAAAATTTTTTCTTCTTGATTCATTCATTGCGCTATTTACTGATAGCATTTGGTTAGTTTTCAATGGGGGTTATGCATAATTCTAAAATCAAGATTCTGTACATATCTTTTGGTGAACATGACTTGTTAATATGCCATTAAACCCCCTGAAATGTTAGTTACCAGTTATTCAGAGCTTTTTATATGAAGAAGTAGCAATAAGCTATTAATTCTCTATTCCTTGTGCGTATCTAGTTGACAGCAGTGTCAAAATTATGAGTTTTGCTCTAACAGACAGTTAAATGAGGGACAGAGTGGCGGGGGTGTATTTTATGTGGGACAAATGGGAAAAGGGGACAGGACCTTAGATTTCAGACGGGAAAATGGACAGTTTACAGGTGACTGAGGACAGTGAAACAGGCATGGCAGGCAGATCCCTGCCAGGTGACCTGGAGACAGCGGGGGGGGGGGGGGGCGGAGGATGCAGCCCGCAGGCCACTCCGGGGCCCTCCTGGCCACCGTACCCGGGTGAACTGGGCTGACACACAAGTCCACGGTTTCCTCCCAGGAGCAGACTCCTCCCAGACTCCCGGGGCGGGAAGGGAAGAGGGCCAGAGCTTCCTTCTGTCTTTTGTTTCGTAACGACCAACTTAAAATCACTGAGCCAGAGGCAGGGGCTTGGGGGTGGCACAGCTTTTTGTCCCTTTCGGGACGTACAGGCCACATTTATAGGAATGTACGGTTAGCAATCTCATATCCAAGCAGTTAACAGTTTTAAAGAGTTTATTTGAAATAAAATCCTTCATCAGTAGTGTACTTATTTGATATTCTAGCAACTGTTTATTTTCTAAACATTTTACTTTATTTTAAATATTGATTGTGTTTTTGGCCAAAACTTAATGTGAAGTCGTGGAAAATTGTCTCTTACAGGGCGGACCCCTTGTCCAACCTGGTTCTGACCTTCAGCACTAAAGAGGCTGCGGCGGCCTTCGCAGAGAAAAACGGTACGTTTGCTCTGTTTCTGTCTGGCTCTGGTGAGTAAGATGAAGACACGATTTTATGCTCTGAACCTTAATCAAAACCACGGGATATAGAATTTGACTTGAAAGAAATTTTCAGTGTATCTAATCCAGTGGTTTTAAGAATTTTACAGCATAGAACACCCCCTTCCAAGGAGCAAAATCTGAGATGGGATGCCCAGGTCCCACGGGGAAGCCCAGCTGCTCTGGTGGGAGGTAGGGGCAGTGAACAAAACTGCTTTCCCGTCTCCTGCCCTCCTTACGGTCCCTCTGCGAGACCTCTCACGTTTGGTTTAAACTCTGGCTGAGCCTTCCAGTTTCGACACCTCTTTACTATTGTCTGCCTTTGAACCGAGACCCCGCGTCCATCCCACCTAATAGCTCTTCAGCTGCCGCAGCCCTGTCGGCAGTGCCCCGCTCTGCACACTCATCTCTGATGGTGCCCCTTTCTCTCACACTGGTTACAACCCCAGTGTAGTCTCAGTGCACAGTGTGGCAGGGTCTGGGGGGGCGCACAGCAGCGTCCCAGCCTCCATGTCCACTCACCACTCACTCAGAGCCCCTTCTGGCCCCGCAGGCTCCGTCCAGGGTGGGTCCCTGCGTTTCTCACAGCGGAGTCTCACCGCACCCTTCGTGTGTGAGGAGGGGGCTCAGACACACAGGCACCGCTGCGTTACAGCCGCCTGCGGCGTTCAGCACAGCGATGTGCCGGGCGGGGCTGCAGCCTGGGCGCTGCAGGCCGTGCCTGTCTGGGCTGTGCCTGTCTGGGTCTGTGTAAGTGCCCCTCTGGTGTCCGCACAGAGAGCACGTCACCTAATGACACACTTCTCAGGAAGGGTCCCCGTCGTCAAGTGGCGTGTGACTGTACTGGTTCATGTTGATCTTGCTATCGAGAAAGTGCAAGATGTCTTTTTTTCTCATTTTCTGTTATTAAGCTCTGCAGCACAGCATGAAAAGAGGTTTTGCAGTTAGACTGATCTGAATTCTAATCCTGATTATAATTTTGTATTAATTTTATAGTGAACTGAATTGTTTTTTTCATTGTTGAAATAACAACCGTGATAGACACTCGGTAACTATTTCTGTTGTTTGTGTCTAAGATTTAAATGCACTGCTGTGCATTGGTGCCTAATGCATTCTGTTACTCTAGTTGGTCAAACAGAACTTGAATCCAGTCTAGTTATCTGTCTGAATGAGATAATATCTATGTATTCTGTTACTATAAGGCGATATATAAACATAGAAGATCATCAGTGCCAGCCAACCTGTCTGACACGTAGGTGTGACAACACTGCAGATGTCGTCCACATCTCCGCCCCAAGGTCACACTGCGCAGCAGCCTGTGACCAGGGTCTGAGGCCGGGGGGCCTCACCATCAGGACCTCACCTGTGCACAGGAGGGGTGTTGGGGGGGAGGCAGTTAAGAGGAAAGCATGCAGCACACAGTTAAGTGGCTAGATAATAGAACATGAACGTATGGTAGTCGGCATCTAACAACTTTCAAAAATTTACACAAGTGTAATTCCTATTCCCACCTTCTTGGCAGTTTTCACATTTCTTTTTTTTAAATATTTATTTATTTATTTATGTTTAGAGGGGAAGGAGAGAGGGAGAGAAACATCAATGTATGGTTGCCTCTAGTGCGTCCCCTGCTGGGAACTGGCCTGCAGGGAACTGGCTTGCAACCCAGGCATATGCCCTGACTGGGAGTTGAACCGCAATCCTCTTGTTCGCAGACCTGCGCTCAATCCACTGAGCTACACCAGCCAGGGCTCACATTTCTTAATTGCATAATTGTTCTCAAAAGTGTTCACAGTCTTTAAAATATTATTTTGACTTAAAATTAACATTGCTCCCTTTAAACTGTTGTTGGGGAGGAAAATTTTTTTGTCTTCCTTTCTAGTTCTGATAATACAATTACTTAAGAAAGATTAACAGCAGAAAACCAAATTCAGATGTACACAGAGGGCCGTGTAAGAATATGAGACGCAGGGACGGGCCGCAGGTGGAGGCTCCTGCGCCACCCGAGCAAGGGCTGGGACGGGGCCTGGGGCTCCAGCGGGGGCAGGGGACTCACAGGACCCTCGGAGCAGGCGTCTGTTCTGCCACACGGGCAGGTCACTCACCTACCAGTTCTTTCCAGTACCCGCTCCGTTTCAGGGCTGGCTGCCCAGCTGGAGTCCGCGAGGTGGTGAAGGCGGAGGGAAAAGGTGTTCTCTCTCCGCGGGGCCTGACTGCCAGCCGTGCGGTGCTCTGCGCACGTGCCAGGGTGGTGTGTGTGGGGTCCGTGTCTTGCTCTCTTTGCTGTGATGTGCCTCATCAAAACCAGTTCCATTGGCGTCTTCCATATTTGCAGCCTACCGCTTGCTGTGTCTGGCACCTCAGAAAGTGTTATTTGCGGTCTGGGACGTGAGTGTAGTGGCAGGAACCCTGACTGAGCCGTGGAGTCCCCGGGTGGTGTCGCTCTGCATGGTCACGAGGGCGCGCGACTGCGGCGGCCAGTGTGAATCGCGGGTGTGGACTCGCCACTGCTGCTCGTGAGGTCGGGTGCTTTTCCAGTCTGCCTCCTGTCCCCCGGGAAAGAACGTGGAGGAGCATCGTTGCACGCAGTAGACGGCGTAGCTCGAAAACCACAGCAGTGAAGCTCCAGGCTAACAGCGGACCAGAGTTTTAACATACCAGGCGGCAGCAGGAGCCGTGTCTGTCTCCACTGCTTTGTCCCCAGTGCTTAGCACAGAACTTGTATAATGGATACTCGGTGTCCGGTCAAATTGCTTTCTGAAACGCATTTCCCCACTCAGGAATCCGAGGCCACTCTAGCCTCCTGGGAGAGTCCTCAGTGACCACGCCGCCGTGGCCCATTCTCGTACTTGTGCCCTGCTGGGTTTGTTGGACATCCAGCCTTACGCGTCTTTCAGCAGACACGGTCTGTTTCTGTAGCTACTGTGGTGGGAAGTCACAATACCAGTGAGTGGGACAGAGTCACGGGGCGGAGGGGGTTCAGAATCGCCCACCGCGCTCTCTGCTGTAATGGTGGGGGCAGACCCGTGGCACTGTCCTCCCCGCACACGCCATGCCACGCCACACCACGTCGAGGTGCCGGCGCTGGCACATGTCGGGTGAACCAGTGCCCGGTAAGGTGGGGCACGAGGAAGGAATGGTTCGGAAGCGCTGGTGTGTGGCGACTGTTGGACTAAGAGGCCGGTACCTGGGCTTCTCCTGCCATTGCCGTCCACTCACAGGGAGCGGGAGCAGGTCTCGAGTCACTGTGCGCAGCCTTTGGAACGGGCGTGGGCTGGGGCAGCGCCCGGGGCCACCTCACTCACCCCAGCTTTCTCTGCTGCAGAGCCCGGGCCGCCCTTGCCAGCTGCTCCCACAGGGGGAGGTGGGTTAGTGTTGAGGTGGACGGTTCTGCGTGGACAGTGACACTTGGGAAAGGTTATCCGTTTGCGAGCAGTGAGTGTTGCCTTTCACAGCGTCTAGAAACAGGAGATCAGGGTAAAGCTGCCACCACGCACGCAGTTTGTTAAAACCTGCCTTTTATTCCCTTTTTAGTTTTCTTGTTTCCCTTACTTTTAAATGGTTAAAAAAATAAAAAAGGTCAGGACCATCACATCCCATGATACAAAAGTTTGTATTGTAGAGAATCAAGGTAATGGGGAACAGGCTTCCAGAGCCAGTTGCTCTCCAGCGAACATTCCTAACTATATTTCAGAGTCAGGTGATGACCACAAAAACTACCACTGAGAAACACTAAATTATGAGCCAGGCACTGTGCTGAGTATGTTCCCTCTAATTTAACTCTCAGTACAACCATATGAAGCAGGAGCGGTCATCCCTGTTTTATAGTTCAGAGAACTGAGGTCTCACAGTTGTTAAGTAACATTAACTACCAAGGTCACGTACCTTTAAGTGGGTGAGCGGGTGTTACTTGAACACAGACAATAGGAGAATTAAATTGTTGCAACAGAGACCCCAGTCTAAAAACATTTTTCTATTTGGTTATTTACAGAAAATATTTACTGACCCCTGGACTGAAATGTTATACATACTGCCTGAATACTAAGAACTTTCCGTCTGTGACATTTTTATAAATCCAAAAATACTCTTTATTCACACATCTTGAAGGGGCTGTGCTCCGTAGACAGCCCCGACTGACAGTTAAGCATTCTTTACAACGTGGGCAGTAACTCTGCACTGAAGCGCTGCTGGCTTCATCCTCACTCTGCCCGAGTCTGCACCCCTCTGTCTGCGGTCCCCTTCTCATCCTCACCCCAGCCTGGCCTCCAGCTCAGGCTTCCAGTACGTTTAAGACGCCAGCTCCTCCTGATCCTTTTTGCCACCTCTTCCCCACAGTGGACCTGTGCTCTCTCCGTTTTAACACCCACAGTAATCTGTTCCTTGCTTGCTGCTCGTCTGGTTTGGTTTTGTACTTGGTGTTCACCAAGGCGGATGTTGAGCACCCCGTCAGGTGCCGGCTGGGCCCTGGGGGTCTGCGGTTAACAAGGCCCAGTCCCGCGACGCAGCTGGGGTCTCTCGCTCCCCGTCAGCACCCACCAGGGAAGACGCCCAGCCCGGGCATCTCTGTCTTCCAGCGAGTGAGTTTGCACGGTGCCCTCGGTGACGTCCTGGACTGTTCTCCCGGTTGTTTAAGATCTGGTACACGTCACCTTGCTTTGGCTACTTGTTCTGTCTTTTGGAAGAACTGTTAATTCCCTCTAATTAGATATCTGAAGAAAGACAATTACAGGAGAATGATTAGTGGTTTCTTATATTTTAGCCTGTTCATAAAATACATCCACCAAGTTTTTGTGTTAAATTAATTTGTACCATATCCTGAATTTATGAAGGCTTAGCACCCTGAAGGTGTCTCAGCGTACTTGAGCATTTAATAACTTGAGCGTTGTTTCCAAGCCATATGTTGTTTCAAACTCTTTCATAAGTAACCCAGGAGACCAAAGTCAGTCGCCTAGCCCCTGACTGAT